CGTGTGTGTGTGTGTCAGTGAGATGCCCGACCAGGGCGGAGACAAAAGCGCTGGACCTTTGTCCAGGGTGATGCCCCGATCACCTGCAATCTTGTTAAGGATCAATATGGCCTTGTCTCAGTTTTAGATTTTGTTCATTGAAGATGGGATAACTGGGGTAACTCTCCTCGCGCAGAGTACCTTTGATGAAGCTGGTGTTGTTGAGGCTCATGGTTCCCACCAGACCTTCTTCTTGGCTGTGTCAACACGGTGGCAACGGAGCTCTCGCAAGATGCAATACGCCGCAAAGATTTCAAAGATACTCAAAACGGCCTCAAGTTCACAGCTTGTTGAATTCATGACCCGCAAAGAGCCGGAGATTCAAACAGAACGATCTTGTTACACACTCTCTGCTAGGCGAATGCCTTTTCATCTAACTCTGTCCACCTGTCAAGCCCCAACAGACAATCAACGGACATACAAAGTTGCCGCCTTTGGCGTGGCACCCCTGAAACCTTTGCGCAGGACGGCATGTCCTGGGCATGCTGCCCACGGCAGGGTGAGGGAGAGGACCTTGCGCGCGACAAACAGCTTTATGCAGACATGTCTTCTACTAGGGGGTCCATTTCACAGCTACCGTTGATATTCGGATTCTCGACATTGATTCTATGCGCACGCTGTCCATATTTGCTTATACCAACTCATGAGTCCACTGAGTCATCATCCTGTCACTCCCCCTCACCTCAGGGATTCATGCCTCAGATTGAGGCGACGAGAGCTAGAAGGGGTGGACATCTGTCGAGTTGATGTGAAACATAATACTTCCAAAACGGACGCTATAACAGGTGTGACGAGCGGAAATTGAGAACAACTCCAGCTAGCTGGTGCTAGCTTTCGTGACATCTAGACAGGCCTATCACGTTGAAATCATTCAACCTTGCTTAAAGCCTTGCGTTGAGCAGCAGCAAGTTACATATCAGCAAAGGGAAAGGTAACGACGATCACACAGGAAAATGGAGAAAAACGGGACCACCACCAGAGTGCATATATTCTTTGTTTCTGCATTGAGGGAATCTGCCTGAATGTTCTGTGTCTATGTGCGCGAAAACCTTTCCACGGTTGTTTGCCTTCATGCCATATGCCATGTGCATCTGAAAGCTGCCTCAATGTCATTTGCAATCACAAAAACAAAAACACAAACATCCTGAGAAAACCGCAAGAACTCGAGAAATCCCCCTCAAAAAACCTCGGAGAAAAAACATTCTTGGAGGTCTTGCCATGCCTCACCAGAGTGCTGGAGAATTGTTTTTGTTGTTTGGGTTCCTCTTTTCGTGGTTTTTGTCTGATCCTCATTAATCTGGGTTATCCTGCCTAAAAGCGTTCTCCTTCATTAGTTCCAGCCTTCTTGTCCCCAAATTGAAAAGCTTGGACATGGCTTAATTCTACTTTAATCTAAATTGAATTCTAATTTAGTTCCAACTCAACTTAAACCATTGAAACGTCACAAATGTCACTTTATCTAACTCTTATTCTAGTCTACTTCTAATTCAATTCAAGCCTCATTGCTGTAGAACTCAAGCTCAAATCATTCAATTCAAATTTATTGTTTTATAATTTATCCATTTAAAAGACAAGCAAGTTCGGATTTAATCTCAATGTTATTCTCAATTGAGTTCCAACTTGTTTCCAAATTGAATCTAGTTGAGGTCTATATTGTTTCTAACTTAGGTCTACTTGAATGTAAAACTAGTTGTAAATGTACATTGACATTAAGACTAATCCTAGTTAAACGTTATTTAGAATCCAAATCTAATCGAATTCGAAGCTAAATAGTTCTAATTCAATTCTCAGTTCAGTCAAAATTGACTTTGATCCATTTCTAACTCGTTGTAATTCATTTTTTGTAAGTTGAATTTAGCTGGAGTTAAAGTTTGAACGAGTTCTTTTACAGCTCCGGTTGACTTCTATATTGAATCCAATTTAGTTCTGTCTAGTTCAAAATGAATTCTAACTCAATTGTAAGTTAACTTTGACTCAGTGTAATTCAGTTCTAATCGAATAGAATTCACAAAGCAGCTCCAACTTAATTCTAGAGAGGAGGCGCTGCTATTGAATTGAAAGCTTTAATATAGAGCTTCTGGGAAATACATTGTTGAATGAAAATACAAAAGAAAAGCTAAGTTAGAAGCAAATGAAAAGCAAAGCAAGAATAGATCAGAATCAACAGTGAATTAAGATAGATTTAAAGTAGACCTATCAAATAACTAAATTCATTCCAAAAAAGTTGGAAATAGCGACCAGCAAGTCAGGTTCAAAGTGGAATGGTGAAACAAGTAAATGTGATCAGTGATTAGTAAAATTACGAAGCAAAAATGTAAGTTACAATGGAAGTTGAGTTGTAGAAGAACTAAATTGAGTTTAAATTACAAATTACAAGTAAGCTTGAATAAAGATAGATCTAAACGAAAAAAACATTAAATAAATCCAATAAATACAAATACTCCATGAGTTGCCCCTGAGTCAAAACCAAAAACAAAATCTCTACAGTCCAGTCACTGAAGAGTTCAAGCCTTGAGCAACATTGTTGAAATGGCTACAATTGAAGCGCAGGAATGCCAGATCGGAGAGAAGATTGAACGCGTCGAGCTTGAGGGCCTTCTGCGCACTCGGGAGGTAGGCCTTGAAGGCCGCCGAATGGTGCTCCATAGGCACAGCGCTGCTCTGCAATTGGGATGCCTGCCACATGCAAAGCCCGAGCGCAGCGCCCTTTGGTTCGGGTCTTCTTTCGTAGGCGCTGGTACTGCCTGGCCAACTTTGCATTCCAGACTCTCTTTTGACCCTTGACATGCATGGCTGTGAAGAACTTGATGCGCAGGAATCCCTTTAGAGGGTCTTGTGGATGGCGGCCGGTCGTACCAAGTGGACATTCTTCGGGTCTCGTTCTTAAAGCTTTCTTATCCGTGCCAGAACTGGGCTGGGGGGTCTGCCCCGCACACGTGTTTCCACCAGTCCTTATGCTCGCGGACAGCTGAAGATGCAAGGAACACTCGAAGCTTGGTCAAGGGCGCTTCATCGCACCTGGCCTTGAAGTCGCAGCCTGCTGCCAATGCAATGCGTATTCCTGCTCGTGCCGGCGGACCACTTCCACTCGAATCTCCACACACCTTGGCACTATAGCGTCTTCAAGTTGCTGACCAAGAAAGCTTAAGGTCTTCAAGCTCAAGGTTGGACTCCACAGAGGTCCACGTGACCCGTATATTCTGGCATGCTACCTGACCTGGCATATACTCTGGCATTCTATCTGGCATAGACTCTGCAATTCTAACTGGCATACATCCTGACATTCCATCTGGCAAACTAATTGGATGTTTTTATGACCTTGTTTCTGGCATGCATTCCATATGTTATGGCATTCTATCTGGCATATGTTCTGTCATTCTATAAGGCATACATTCTCGCATTCTATCTGGCATATGTTCTGGCATTCTATCTGGCACATATTCTGACATTCTATCTGGCATACATTCTGGCATTCTACCCGGCTTATGTTCTGACATTCTTTCTGACATATCTTCTGCGAATGTGGGCACTGCCGCAATTGGAAGCTTGCGGTTGGGGTCCGGCAGTGCCCACTGCATTCCGGGAGCTTGCAGTTGAGGGTCCGGGAGCACGAGGAGGAGGACGAGAAGAGGAGAAAGGAGGAGCGGCGGATAGCAGCGGAGAGCTCTTGTAAAGGCATATAAAAATCTAAGGAGCATCGTCCAACTGTGTCGGTCCGAGACTGGGGAAGTGCAGGTTTGGGTTTGGTACATCTCTCAGGACCCTCCTGTGAGGTGTTTCTTTGTGTTTCCCAGATCCTCACCCCTAGTGAGGGGTGACCTGGGAAAACCACAAAGGCAAAAAAAAAACATGCATCTATGTGTCATTTATCTGAATCTGTGTTTTAATGTTTTTATAGATTTAAAATTGTGCCCTTGTCCACCCATGTCCATCCGTCCAAACCCTCAACTACGCGGAGCATCCTGCATGTGGCTGTGCGTCAAATGTCCATTCACCCCCAAACTCAGCTAGCAATCGAAATCCCCGAGTGGACCCCTTTGGTCTATCACTTGCTCCATGACGACTGATGTCGGGCAACCCTTCAGTTACAATCGCCAGGACCATCCGATCGGTGTTGGACTCCTCTACACTGCTCATAGGGATCTCGAACACCCAAACGGGATGGTCCCAGTTCTTACCCAAACAATCCATGGGACTGGAATACTCACCTCAACGTAGGTAAATATTCCATACCTGGGGCCCTCCACCAGGTTTTCTGTTGACAACAGGTGCTCAGAAACCACCTGTTAGGGTCTCCAGACCTGCCTATTGGACTGGGAGATGAGTCCATGGTGAGAGGTGGTCCAAATCGGTCTATGTTCATGATAGGGGTCCCCAAAGGGCGCTAAAAACGATGTCCAATACCTTTGGTAGGTTGGAGTCTAGATGCAACCGAACTCACGACCCCGTGCGCCACGGTCTGAAGGTCTGAATGTTCGTTTGAAGAACCGGTCGCAGTCGGTATATCCCCAATTACAAACAGTGGATGATGACATACCACCTGTAATGCGGAGTAATATCCACTGAACATCATTCATCATTCAGCTTGCCTAGGCCTTTCCATCTCTAAAACCAAGTGCTGTTCATGTTGACCAACTGTTACAGGTAAAGGACAAACCGCCAGACCTAGGTCTAGCAGTCTAGCGCTAGCAGTCGGCCGCTCGGCTCGCCACACCAAAGCTGCAGAGCTCACGACTTCTTGTGGTCCAAAGCTATTGGGTGTTGTATCCCTCACGGTGAGGATGGTTTGCCATGTCCTACCACGTGTCTTCGAGGCGCCCACAAAAAACCTCGTGTCTTTGCGACCGAGCTGCTACTGTCGCTCTGCCCGCTCACCAGTCGACGAGGGGAACGTGCGCGCTCCTTCGATCCCAAGCGATTTCCCTCACCTTTCACCCCCCCAAACCACTCCGCCCCATCGCCTGAAGGTCACGGAAGATCCATCCTCCGTCATCCTGCCCGCTGGGGAGGAGCGGCCCGAGGAGGCGACCGACGGATCCCAAACGACCCAACCCAGTCCGTCTGACCCAGTAAAACCGGGTCGAAATGAACCTCCTTGAGTGATGGGTTTGGGATGGTTTTGGTATGACCATCTCCAGTAAAAGGAGATCTTGGACTTCTAGGGCAACGAGGTCGAAATGAACCCTTCTCGAGAATGCCGTACTGTTCCGAAAAGAAGGCGCAGCCGCCTTTGCGGGTGATCAAGCCGTTGTTTATTTGGGGTGCCCAACGCAAACACAATCCTTCTGCCGCCCTGGTTTTCGGGTCATGAGCAATTGGCTTTGTGCTGCTCTCACCCAAAGGGGCTGAAGCCCACACGCGACTGATTTCAATTGGACTCGTCCCAATTTTCAATTGAGTAGCAAGCCAGAAATGGAAGGGAGACGGGAGAAGAGGTGTGTGTCTTCTACTTGAGAGAGGAGGGGGTGAACGAAAGGTAGCAGGCAATCACAAGCAACCCTGGTAAAAGTCCATGACGGCGTGAACCGGCGGAGGGGGGATTTGATCCAGGGGGGCCCGTAAGAGGGAAGAACACGCCCTATGTGTCGAAGGCTGTTTTTGCACTTTTCTTTATAAATTTTGGTTCTCCAAATTTATAAATATAAAAAAATAATTAAATATGTTTCATTTGCGGAGTCTCGTGGCAATTACATTTATAAATATTACGAATATTAATATCTAAAATCAAACATATCTATAAAACAATATTTATGAATTTCGGGCCTCCAAATTTATAAATTTTTGAAATATTTGGATAATATTCTTAAATTTAATTGCCACGGGATCCGGAAATACCAAAAATTTGTAATATTTGTAATATTTATAAATTTGGAGGCCTGAAATTTATAAATATATTATAAATACTATACATATTTGTAATATTTGTAATATTTGTAAAATTTATACATTTAATTGCCACGGGATCCCGGGAATGCCAAATACTTAAAATATCTATATATTCAATTGCCACGGAACCCCGGGAATGCCAAATATTTATAGAATGTAATTAATTTCCACGGGATCCCGGACATGCTAAATATGTATAATGTTTATAATATCTATAATATTTATCAATTTCTATTGCCACAGGATTCCGGCATTGCTAAATATTTATAAGTCTTATGTGACACAGGATGTCCGGAAAAAGCCTTTTTTGTTTACAAGGACAAACATATCTGTTTAATAGATCATGCAGGTTTTTGGGGGGGGCGTTTAGTTTTTCTGCCCGATTGTTTTTGTTGAGCTGTCGTTCTACTTCAGGCAGACGTTTTTCCTGAGCGGATGTTATTCCCTGAGCAGGTGTTCTCCCCCTGAGCGGGCGTTCTTCCCCTAGCGGGCGTTCTTCCCCTGAGCGGGCGTTCCCCCTTGAGCGGGCGTTCTCCCTTGAGCGGGCGGTCTTCCCCTCAGCGGGCGTTCTCCCCTGAGCGGGCGTTCGCCCCTGAGCGGGCGTTCTCCCCTGCGCGGGCGGTTTTCCCCTAAGCGGTGTTCTTCCCCTGAGCGGGCGTTCTCCCCTGAGCGGGTGTTCTTCCCCTGAGCGGGCGTTCTCCCCTGCGCGGGCGGTTTTCCCCTAAGCGGGCGTTCTTCCCCTGAGCGGGCGTTCTCCCCTGAGCGGGCGTTCTTCCCCTGAGCGGGCATTCTCCCCTGAGCGGGCGGTTTTCTCCTGAGCGAGCGTTCTTCCCCTGAGCGGGTTTTCTCCCCTGAGCGGGCGTTCTTCCCCTAAGCGGGCGTTCCCCCCTGAGTGGGCGTTCTTCTCCTCAGCGGGCTTTCTCCCCCGGAGCGGGTGTTTTCCACCTGAGTGGGGGAGCGGGCTTTCTACGCGCAAGCAAGTATGTTGTTCCTCTCATTGGGTGAGCGGATCCCTTGAGCATACGTTTTCTGCCCTGAACATTTATTAGATTGGTCTCTTCCCCCCAGTGGGTCGATTCCGAGCCGGATCCTACTACGATCATGGATTGAACTCCCGCCCAGCTGTTGGGTGAACGTGTCATTTTCCAAAATTATCTGGCCGATACACATCCAGACAGGCACGCTGCTTGATATCTGAGTTTCCGATGATCAGCCCCCTACTCAGGCTACAGTAGGATAAGACTTCTACAGACAAGACATCTAAAACTATCTGCAAGCTTTTGCGATTCCTGGGCTCCAATGTGGCTGCGAGGTTCACCACAAAAAGCATAGGGTTTGGGTCTTTGGACAGAGACAGCCGCCGAAAGTCAAGCTGATATTTCACAATGTGACTCTTCAGTAGGATAACCGTCATTTGATTTGTATACCAGGCAGATTTTTCGCCACCGCAGAAAATGCTTTTGAACAGCTCTGTTCGTCGTCGTACCAAAGAACCTGCTATACCGCGTCGCCATGCTGCTTCTCATCGGCAAGCGTGTCCTTTGGAGCTCGTCTACTGGGCAGACCTTGGCTTTGACGGTTTGCACCCAGAGGTGGGATGGCTTTTGCCAACTCGCTTCCAGCACCTCAGCCGAAGAAAGCATGTAGGAGCGCAAGAATAATCGCAACGTATCATAAAACTTAACAGTTTGAGCCTACCACTCTTTTTGATTGAGTGTTGCTCGTATCCCGTGCGTAACTTCAAGGGATAACTTAGTCGACTCGAAATGCTAAACTTGTGAGAGGTGAAACGAATTGAAATATCGCTACTAGGGTGGAGGCCATCGCTTCTAGGTTGGAGGCCATCGCTACTAGGGTGGAGGCCATCGCTAGCAACTGCGCAGATGTGGGAGAAGCGGGCGCTCTGAGAAATTTTTGACCTGCTCAGGTGAGGCCGAATGGAGACCAGAAAATGCATGGATGTCGCCAAAGAGTTTCTCAGCGACTTGCTTTGCAGGTGTCCAGTCTTGGCGGTCTAGGTCAGCTTCTCATTGAAGCGGTTCAATCAGCTTGGTAAATAAGTTTTGCAGATGTAATAAGCCTACAAGTTTGTTGTATCAAAACCTCCGACGAAGGTAGCGTCAATCCAGTGAAGACTAGAAGTATGTGAACATGAGAAAACCTCTCAGAACGAGGAGGTTATCGCAGTAAATGTGTTGGTGTGTTGTCGATGGCGTCTGTAGTTTGTAGTGGCACAAGCGCGCGTGCAGACACACAAGTGCACATACACAGAAACAAGAGAAATTATTCGTGTGATGCATAGGCTCTGGCCTGCTGCAAGAGTGCGCCTGCCTATTTCATAAACCCCGATCACTCACCACAAGCTTGACTACAATAGTTGAGGCTGCTGGGGATTCCTGCAGTCAGCGGCCAATGGAGTATGCCGTCACAAGAGCACAACGCATTTCCAGAAGTTGGGCAACCCGACGCTTTCATGGATGAAGTGCCTCCTTCCCAAGGATCTGTGCAACGGACAGCGGCTAAGTCTCAGCCTAGGAGACCAATCATCAAGGAAGAAGATGGCTCTGCTGGTGCCATTGTCGAAATGGACGTGGAAGTGGAGCAAGCAACGTTTGAGGTCTTAAAGCGTCGCAGGCATCAACCACACTGCTTCACGTCAGCGCAGGATTTCGACGAACACTTCTTACGCCTGCAGACTGCTCACAAATTATTTCAAGGGCGTGTCCGAGAGCCCATGGACAACTCACATACAATCATCGAGAAAGTGCGTTTCTGGCGGCAGCGTGTGGAAGCAGAACTGCCAGGAAAGTCAGACTATTTCATTCGTATTTGTGCGCGCGCCTTGGCCTTTGCTCGGGCTCGCCTGGCCGACATTTCGTTGCGGGAGCATGCCCTTGTTTATTGGGTCGCTGAAGGCCATCGGTCCCTGAGGTTTCATGCCGGCGACTGCTACATGCTCACACCATCTGGGGCCTTCCAGCAACACAGAGGTGTGCCACCAGATCATGACCGAGTGCAAACATTTCTGATGCACGTCGAAGGCATGTTCCGGAGACTTCCGTCGAAAACAGTGAGAAACCTGCAAGGAATCCTTACTGCCATTGAGGCTCTGTTTGCACAGACCACGGATGAGGCGGCCTTTCTGGAACAGTGTGCAGATGCATGCCTTAATTTCGAGGGTGAATCAGGTCCTGCTCGGCGGTTTGACAGGCAAAACGTGGGTGAAGGTGAGATGAGAGAGGACCCAGAACCACCTGTCCGTTGGAACGTTGGCACCGCAAAGAACATCATGGTAGTAAAGAAGCAGCTAGCAAAAAAAATGACAGAAGAAAAGCTGTTCCATTTCATGAGCGAATGGTGCGAAACCCCTCATGAGCCCCAAGCTTCATGCTGCTATGACAACTGCGCCATTCAATATGACGATGAGCTTCTACCCGCCCACCAAGTAGACAGGAGAACCCTTGAAAACTGCTACCTTCGCATTCCTCATTGCATCAAGGGTGCAGTGCCTCAAGCCATTGTTGACAGGCTGCACAAATTCTACGCGCAAACCTTTTGGGGAAATCTGCAAGTGTTTAAGTGCGGCCAAGCTGCGCATGCCATGTATGGGCACAATTTCGCCTTCTTCGATCCCAACATCTGGTACAACGAGGAAGAGATCAGAAAGCAGATTGAGCAATTGAACGGCTGCTGCATTCGGCTGCTGCATTCTGACCGGACAAGAAACCCCTGGCACAAATCGCAAGTTGAAAGAGGATCTCTTTAAGAAGTTTGCAAGCGGCGATGGAATAGCTGGCCGCAAGCCGTACGGGTTCAAAACCCGCGTGATTCATTGTACAGGTTGGAAGCGCTTGGAAGCCAACCGAATGTTCACATTGAGTGGAGTAACCAAGCGGGATTTCAATTCCATCTTTCGAAGGGCCTTTGTGTGGCAGGTCAAGTCTCGGTTTGAAGACCCGCATGTAATTGAAAGTACATACCCAGATATTTCCGTCGATGGAATTTTCCCAAGGATCCAGACTTGGCACACTTCCTGGTGTCAGGGCCAGCTGTAGCTGCTGCACTGCAAATTCAACATGCATTCGAAGCAGAACATTCGAGGCAGCAG